AAAAAAAAAAAGAAACTCAAAATAATAAAGTTTATAAAGGAAACATAGGAAAGTATCTTTGCAGGCCTAGGACAAAGTTTGTTTGTTTGTTTTATGTTTTTGTTTTTACATGGGTCTTAGAGAGTGTAAATCAGAAGGGAAAAAAAATGATAAAATGGATTTTGATAAAAGTCTTCTACTCATCAAAAAGGCATTGTTAAGAAATTGAACAGCAAAACACAGAGAAAAACATTCATATATAACAAATATTTGTCACATATGACAAATAACTTATTTCCAAAAATATATGTAATACCCCAAAATAAAAAGATATTTCTATAGAAGTTTCCAATTCCTGTCAAAGTGAAGGCGGCACATCCTCTCCTGTTTCTCCTACTGAATGTAATTTAAAACCTCAGACAGAATGAAAGGAATATCTGAGGATTCTAAAAAGTAAATGGCAGAAAGAGTATGGGAAAGAAAATCAGAAGTTGAAAAATCACCAAATCAAGGATGAATTTCCCAATGTTCCCCATTCTATTTCTCTCTCATCCTGTACTAAAAGGCAGCTGAAGATGTGTATATTTTGTACAACAAAGTGAATATAATCCATACTATTAAACTGTATATTTAAAACTATGCTGGAGTGAAGCTTTTGCCCACTATGTGCAAAGTCCTGGGTTTGATCCCCAGTACCCAGAGGGGAAAAAGTTTAAAATGGCAATTTTTATATATTTTATAACAATTAAAATAACAACTATAGAAAATCTAGAGAAGTAATAGATGAATTTCTGGATGAATATGACTAATCTAAATTGAGCCAACAGAATATTTTCAAAAAACCAAAATAGATCAATAACAGGTGATGAGACTGAAGCAGAAATAAAAACTCTCCCAACAAAGAAAAGCACAGGAGTGGATGAACTTATGCTGAACTTTACAGATATTTAAAGAACTAACATCAAAAGTCCTCAAACTGAGCCGGGCACAATAGTGCACACCTGTCATCCCAGCAGCTCAGGAGGCTGAGGCAGGAGGATCACGAGTTCAAAGCCAGCCTCAACAAAAAGAGGCGTTAAGCAACTCATTGAGACCCTGACTCTAAATAAAATACAAAATAGGGCTGGGGATGTGGCTCAGTGCTCAGTGCCTCTGAGTTGAATCCCCAGTGCCAAAACAAAACAACAAATAAACAAAACCCTCTAATTATTCCAAAAAATAGAATGGGAAGTAGCAATTTCAAACTCATTTTAGGAAGCCAGTATTAGTCTTTACCAAACCAGATAAGGACTCAACAAAAAAAGAATACCATAGGCCAATATTTCAGAAGAACACAGACGCAAAAATCCTCAATAAAGTACTTGCAAATTGAATTCAACAGCACATTAAAAAAAATAACACACCATAATCAGTTTGGTTTAATTCAAGGGAGGCAAGGATGATTCAGCATACACAAATCAATAAATGTAATATAGCACATAAATAGAATCAAGGGAAAAAATCACATGATCATCCCGAAAGATGAAGAAAAAAAAAAAAAACCTTTGATAAAATCCAACATCCCTTCAAGATAAAAGCCCTGGGGGCTGGGGATGTGGTTCAAGCGGTAGCGCGCTCGCCTGGCATGCGTGCGGCCCGGGTTCGATCCTCAGCACCACATACCAACAAAGATGTTGTGTCCACTGAAAACTAAA